TTCTCCTCTTGGGATCTTGGGCACGCACGCACACATGCCTGGCGTGAGTTTAAGCTTCAAGCCACCGGGTCAAAACCACAGTTGACTACATGGGAGTTCAGCGACATAGCCATTATGCTAACTGCTGGTCCCTGGAAACCGTTGTTGAGCCTTGCACATGGGCATGCCATGGTCTTAGGTTTCCTGGGACCCAGCTTGGGACTAGCCATGGAAACAGCAAACCCTTCTGCAGGTGTCTGTTCAAACGGCCGTCATTGTTTTCTAGGAGGAAGTGGAACCTTCTGTGTGGGGCTCTGGCCTGCTAGTCTTTTGTTGGAGAAAAACGGTGAGCCGGGGTCTGCCCTGGGGAGGAAGGTGACGCCCATAGTGTCCTGGTGTCCTTCCCCCAGGAGCAGCAGCCAAGCTGGACGGATGACCTGCCACTTTGCCACCTCTCTGGGGTTGGCACGGCCTCCAACCGCAGCTACTCTGCTGATGGCAAGGGCACAGAGAGCCACCCACCTGAGGACAGCTGGCTCAAGTTCAGGTGTGCTGCCCGCCATGCTCTCCGGGGCAGAGGAAGTGATTTGCAAGGAAGAAAAGTCACCCATCTTACACATGTCTCCTAAGGGGCTTGCCTGTGGGCTGGCCTCTGCTGCTGTCCCCTCCACGTCTAGACCCAAACCAGTCAGTCGCCTGCTACTGTGGGGGTGGGTGGCAATCCCAGAAGGCTCTAGAGTGAGATGGTGGGTGAGGCTGGGGCAGGCGCACCTGCAGCTGCAGTCTCCCCATTCCTTTCTCTCTCTGCCCCCACCTCTGTGAGCCCCTGGTCTCAGACCTCCTTCTGCCCTCCTTCTGCCAGGAGCGAGAACAACTGCTTCCTGTACGGGGTCTTCAATGGCTACGATGGCAACCGGGTGACCAGCTTCGTGGCCCAGCGGCTGTCCGCAGAGCTCTTGCTGGGCCAGCTCAACGCCGAGCACACGGAGGCCGACGTGCGGCGGGTGCTGCTGCAGGTGACGGTGCTCGGGCAGAATGGCAATGGTGACATGTGGGGTCACCCCTCCTCCGGAGCCTGGGCCCTGCCACTGTAAAATGTTGACAGGGTCGGTCTGAAGGTCCTGCCAGCTTCTTCACCATGCGGAGGAGGAGCTCAGAAACAGTTCCCAGCGGCCCGCGGGCAGGGCCTAGAAGAGAGGTCATTTAGAGCCAGCCGTTCCTGGGGTGTGGTCGGGCTCTGCCTCCCAGTGCCCGCAGCATCCTGGCTTTCAGGAAAAGACCTAGCCTCCCCTCCTCTGATTGGCTGGCACCCCCATGGGCCAGGTCAGCCCTTCTGCTTGCTACTCTCGGGTTTTCCTTCTGGCATCTTCTTTTAGTAGCACATTGAGAGGTGCTTTGTGTTAGATGGGGAGAGGCTGGGTTACTGTTCCTGCCCTCCATGGCCCCGGGGCTCCTTAACAGTGATTCTCAGCAGATCCCATGTCTCAGGGGAAGGTAACAGTGTCCACGGGCCAGCAGGAGCCTCCCAGGAAGAGGCCATAGTGATCATGCCTGGCACTTTGTCTGAGCCGCATGCAGTGCTAAGTGCCGAGGGGCCAGCTCACTACCCTCAGAACAGCGCTCACTCCGTTCTGTAGACAGGAGGCCGAGTTCCCATCCCAAGCTCATGCTCTTGGCCCTGTGCTGGCTCCTGCCTCTCTGATCCCTGCAGTGCCAGGTCCCTTGAGAACCAGGCAGAAGGCTGGAGTGATGGGCGTGAAGCCCCAGCACAGGACCTGGCGGAGCACATGGCAGCTGCTGTTGTCGAGCGCGTTTTAGCGCCAGGTGGCAGTGTGTCTTGAGCCAGGCTTCGCCCTGTCCTACGTCCCATAGGCCTTCGACGTGGTGGAGAGGAGCTTCCTGGAATCCATCGACGATGCCTTGGCAGAGAAGGCGAGCCTGCAGTCCCAGCTGCCAGAGGTGATCTCCCAGCTTGCACTCCGGGAGAAGCCAGTTGAGTCCCAGCTCTGCTAGGAGCAAGGACTGACCTGCCGTGTCACAGGCAGCCAGTGGCACAGCCGGGCCAGAGCAGCAGGAGCTATGGAGACAGTTCTTGGTTGGGGTGTGCGCAGGTGGCAGTGGGTTTGCCCTTGGGGGAGGTCTCCCTGGGTCGCTGGGGCAGCTTCTGAGGCTCAGCATCGGGTGGCAGTGACAGGTGTGGGAAAGGCCTTTCCAGGCCCTGCAACCTGGACTGACCCACAGCCTGTTGCCCACCCGCTCACACCCCCCGCCCAGCAGTTTCTGAGCCAGCCTCTGAGTTCCAGCTGTCTGGGTGAGGTCCTCAGCTTTCCTGGGAAACACCCTGCCTTGGAGTTGAGGACAGGCCTCCTCCTGGCTGTGCCCTGGACCTCTCATCCTCCGGGCCCTCCTGGGTCTGCCATGCGCTGATCCCTCCGATGCTGGGTTGCAGGGTGTCCCTCAGCACCAGCTGCCTCCTCAGTATCAGAAGATCCTCGAGAGACTCAGGACGTTGGAGAGGGAGGTTTCGGGAGGAGCCATGGCTGTTGTCGCAGTCCTTCTCAACAACAAGCTGTACGTCGCCAATGTCGGTGAGTCGCCCCTGTCCTGGGGAGGGAGGCAGCCTCAGGGAGGTGTGCTCTTAGGCAGTCTACTTTCCAGCCGGGAGACACTTTAGACCCAGATCTCCTGGGGCCCTGTGGGGATGTTTCTTCCTCCCCCATGGTAATATCCCCGCCGGGCGGAGAACAGACAGACAGCAGGCAGGTCCCCACTCTGGCCCTAACTGGCCTTGGGCAAGTCGCAGCCCGTCTCTGGGCGAGCTCAGCAGCCGCTGCTTCTGGAAGAGGTCACCTGGGTGTGGACGACTGCTAGGCACTCCATGAGCAGCTGGGTGACAGAAACTGGGAGTCACGGGCAAAGGAGGGCCGCCTGGGAGGCAGAGAAGGCTGTACGGGGCGGGTTACGGTAGGGACGCAGTGACGGTGCGGAGGCCGCACTGACGTCTCTGCCACCCTCCCTCCTTTCCTGAAGATCTCGTTATGGAGAGGACCCAAAAATACAAAACAAAACCCAAAAAGCAGCAAGTAGCAATCAGTGACCCTCTGTGTCCTCATCGCCGGCACTTACTAACTTGTGGCCACTCGTCCTTCACCAATGGCCCTTTGTCCCTGCTGGTTTGAAGCAGACCCCAGTTAGTATGTCTGTCATCTGTACATATTTCACTACTTGTCTCTAGGGAAGAGGTGTCTTACGGAACCCTGACCCCAAGATTACGCTGAGAATTCACCTACTCCCTCTACTCCATCGATCCCCTGCCTGATAGCCCACTCCAGTGGCCAGAGCCGTGTCATGCTTTACGAGCATCTCCGTGGCTCGATGCCCAGCCTTTCTCTCTCTGTCTTCTCCACACGTCCTGTTCCTCCCTAGGCGTAGTCTTTGCTCAGCTGCTCAAATTCTGCTGCAGGTACGAACCGTGCGCTTCTGTGCAAGTCCACAGTGGACGGGCTGCAAGTGACACAGCTGAACATGGACCACACCACAGAGAATGAGGACGAGCTCTTCCGCCTCTCGCAGCTAGGTGAGCGTGGCCACGCAGCCCGTGGGGCAGGGGGAGTGGGCCCTGTGTTTGCCATGCCCTGCTCTGGAGCCTGGGCAGAGCGAGGAGTGCGGTGGAGGGGCTGACACCTTGGCTCTGGGACCAGCCCTCCTGAGGTTGGATCTCAGCTCTGCTGTGTGACTGTGGGTGATCGGAACTTACCCTGGTTTTCTATGCCTGTTTCCTCATCTGTCTAATGAGGATGGGAGTAACACCTACCTCTGGGTATTGTGAGGATTAAGAGTTATTACGTGTAAAATGCTTCCCAGAGTACCTGGTGCAGAACAGGTACTCACTGTTAATGGTGGGGACTGAGAGGCCAAAGAAGTCCGGAGGGTCCAGCCCTGCCTTCCCGGTGCCTGGGGTTGAGCAGGCAGCAGACAGCGGCTGTGCCAGGCAGTGCGGAGCAGGCCTGAGGAGCGGCCCCGAGTGAGGGCATGTCCTGATGTGGGGACTGGGGACGCCGGGGACTTTGGATCAGCTGCTCCCCAAGGCACCTTGTTCAGTGTGTCCTCGTGCCTTGTTTGCTTAGATATATCTCTGTCCCCTTCCTCGTGTTCTTGGCGAACAAGGAAGAGGACTGCCGCCTTTCTCCCCCGGCAGGTCTGGATGCAGGTAAGATCAAGCAAGTGGGGATCATCTGTGGGCAGGAGAGCACCAGGCGCATCGGGGACTACAAGGTCAAGTACGGCTACACGGACATCGAGCTGCTCAGGTAGGCAGCCGGCCCACCGCCCCCGTCGGTCTGTGAGCCCAGAGGACCTGGGGCAGAAGCAGGCTTCAGGCTCTAGCACAGGCATGCAGTCCAAGTAGTCAGAACCCAGGGGAGCTTTCTTCCACCCACAGAGGTAGGTCTCGGGAAGGCCCTGAGCCCAGCAGGCCAGGAGTTGGGATCCCTTAGAACTAGACAGGTAGGGGGTCGAATGGGGAACTGGGCCAAAGCCCAGGACAGCAGACAGTGCCACAGGGCCTGGCAGGAGCAGCCAGAGTTGGCGTGAGGTTCTTGGCTCAGATAGCGAGAGTCGGACCAAAGGCCCCTTGGTTGGGAGCCAGGGCAGAGGTGTGAGATGAAGTGGATGTTTCCTTCCGAGGATGCTCACCTTCCGGGTGTCACCCAAGTGCTCATGGCAGCACAGTGAACAGTAGCCACTGGGGACCTTTGTTGGGGCCATGTCTGTTTTTTTTGTTTCTCCCATGAGCAGAAGAGATGGTGACAGAGAGACAGATACCCCTAACAGGGTCCCAACATGATGCTATGTTCCTGGCCTCAGCCAGCTCTCATCACAGCCACACCTGCACCTCCCACACTCAGGAAGGCCTCAGGGCACACCCCAGAGCACGCCCCTGTGCTCAGCCCCCAAGCATGGCCGGCTGCCCTGCGCTCTCCCACACCCTGTGCGAGCTCCATGCCTATGGGCCCGAGGAGTAGGTACCCCCTTTACCCTAGAGGCATTTTCATAGGAAGAACTGAGGCGTGGAGACATGGGAAGGGCTGGTAACAGACGCAGGCAGGACTTGGACCCAGGCAGCCTGATGCGGAGCGTGCGTCCTGAGCCACCTGCGAGGCCGTTTGAGAAGATGGTGGCTGGGGAAGTCCGTGTGCACATGTGTGGTGCTGGTCGTGTTGTTAGTGTCATGACCAGAGCTGTCGAGAAATTGCGCCAAAGATGCCCTCAGCTGAGGCCAGACCTGGCGGCTTAGAAAGCTCACGCCTGAGCTCCTGAACCCCATAGGGTGTAGACAGTGAGTTTAGAACCTTAGTCCCTAATTTGTAGGGTTCTGTTTCTTTATTGAAAAGTACATTTGGGGACCAGCAGTTAGCATAATGGCTATGTTGCTGAACTCCCATGTAGCCGACCACGGTTTGAGTCCAGGACCCGGTGGCTTAAACTCACACCGGGCACGTGTGTTCGTGCGTGCCCAAGATCCCGAGAGGAGGATGGAGGAGAAGGGATTGCAGCGTGGCTATTCCCCCTGGGGGGTGATTTCTCGCTTTCTATCTCTCTGTCTCTCTCTGTCTTTCTGGTGAGCGCATGCACCCTATAGCAAAAACCTCAAAAGAAAAAGAAAAATGCATCTGAAGTTTGAAACACCCCGGACAGTGCTAAGAGTGTGGTAAAAGCGAGTCTTCCTTCCATTCTAGCCCAGGGCTCCCTCCTCAGGCTCTGTAGTGTCTTATTTTAGGTTTTTGCCATAGGACGTGAACACTCTCTAGAGAGACAGGGAAAGTGAGAAGTCATGCCCGGGGGAATGCCCACTCCACAGTCCCTTCCTCATTCTTGGGCTTTAGGGTACACACACGTGTGCTGGCGTGCTGAGTCCAGGATTCGAATCATGGTCAGTCACGTGGGAGTCCAGTACCTTAACCACCATGCCACCTGCTGGCCCTGGTGCTATAGTTCTTAATGTACCCTGCCCCCAAGCTTCTGTGCACATGCATGTAAACTTGTGTGTGTGCGTGTGTGTGTGCGCGCGTGTGTGTCTGTCATGGGGGCAGGGGAACAGGCATTTTCAAAACTCCCACACATGCTGGCGTGTCTTTTCTAGTGTTTGGGACTTCATTCTTTCCTTTATTTATTTATTTTTAATAATTTTATTTATTCATTCATTCATTTTAATTTGACCAGAGAGACACATACAGAGAGGGGGGGGGAGTGAGAAAGCAAGCTGCCAGGTTTGGGACTCAAACCGTGGTCAGCCATGAGGGAATGTCCAGCACCTTAACCAGTACGCCACCCGCTGGTCCCCGCATTCTTTCCTTTATTTTAAAACATTTTTTGTTTATTTTATTGCCAGAGGGTATGCAGAGGCATGGAAAGAGAGGGAGAGGCCACCCCCAAGTGGGGCATGTCTGTGCCACAGACTCCTCCTCCGTCTGTCTATCCCGTCAGGGTCCTGGGGATGCGTGCATGTGCACTCGGTATGTTTTCAAGCTTCTGGGGCAGGAGTTGGAACTGCACTCGGCCATGTGGGATCTGGCTCCCAGTGCACAGTGCTTGACCACTGCACCATGGGGCTGGCCCTCCTTTTTTTCTTTTTTCTTTTAATTTTGCCAGAGGGACCAGCAGGTGGTGTAATGGTTACATAGCTGGACTCCCATGTAGTCGACTGCGGTTTGAGTCCTGGACCTGGCGGCATGTGTGTGTGCATGCCCAAAATCACAAGAAGAGAATGGAGGAGAAGGGGTTGCAGTGTGGCCATCCCCCCAGGGGGTGATGTCTATCTCTGGCGAATGCATGCACCCTATAGCAAAAACCTCTCTTAAAAAAAAAAAGTTGCTAGAAGGCGTGTGCACTGGAGAGGAAAGTGAAGACGCACCCTCCATGGGAGACAGTCACGCCTCAGTCCTCTTTGTACTCCTTCAGGATTTGGGGCACATACATCTGTATGTCTGGCATGCTCCCCAAACTACTGAGTCCAGGTCTCGAACTGCAGGGCCAGTCATGTGGGGTCCAAGGAGAGGGGTTCTTTTCTTCTGTCTGTTCATGATAAAAAGCACATGAGGAGAGGTTAGGAGGTGACAGAGAAAAAGAGAGGGCGCAGCCTCGACAGGGCTGTGTATCACATCACCAGCTGATCACCCCTCTCTTGTTTTTCAGTTTTACTATGGCGTACTTGAGTTCACTGGTGGGGAGTGGGGAGAGAGAGAAGTGAGAAATCACACCCTGTGGAGATGGCCACGCTGCAGTCCCTTCTTCATTCTCCTCTTGGGATTTTGGGCACACAACACACATGCCAATGTGTTTTCCAAGCCGCAGGGTCTGGGACTAGAACCGTGCAGTCAGCCCTGTGGATCCAGCCACCTAACTACCTCGCCACGGCTGCCCCACCGGCCAGTCTGCTGAGGTGTGGTTGACTGCAGTGCTGCGCCTGCCTGGTGTGCGCAGCTTGTCGAGTTTGGAGATGAGCTTCCTGTACCCTGTGTGACTGAGGATGTCCCCTCCATCTCTGCACACCCAGCTGCAGGCTGCTGGGACTCAGCTGTGTCAGAACCCCTGACCAACCCCTTCTGGTGGGCCCTAAGGACGTTTCCAGACTTGGCTCTTCTCAGGGTCGTTGCCAGGATTCCTTGCACGCGCCTCTGCGCACGCATCTCTGCGCTGGAACTTTCCGACAGCTAACGACTGATACGTCAGTCAGTGACCCTGCACAGGTCGAGGATATTTGGGGTCTTGGTTGTCTTGCAAACTATTTGGGAGAAGCCCAAGTGATAGTAAGAGGAGAGGCGTTTTAAGAGAAGCCTCAGCTCAGCTGTTGTGCAGCCATAACTCCAGCCCCCTGTGGGCTCGAAGCCATGTGGCGACCACGGTTCGGATCCTAGGTTAGCCTGAAAGACACGCTGGGTGCTCATGTGAGTGTCCACGATCCTGGAAGGCTGGGAAAGGGGGCTGTGGCATGAGCCCTGTCGAGGCTGCGCCCTTTCTTTTTCTCTGTCACCTCCTAACCTCTCCTCATGTGCTTTTTATCATAAACAGACAGAAGAAAAGAACCCCTCTCCTTGCCACCCTTCCTCCCTCCTGCCACCAGGCTCTGGACAGGAGGTGCAGGACAGGCCAGGACAGGCATAGACCTGTGTGCTCCAGACCTCAGCTGCTTGCCAGCTCCGGCCCTCTGAACTGTGCCGTAACAGCTGTCCTTGGGCACCAGCTCTGTTCTAGTCTCTCCTCCTGTCAGGTTGTGTGTTTCACATTCTGAGTGTAGACCCTTCCCTCAGCAGAGTCACGCCCACCTGGGAGCCATTCCAAGCAAAGCCCTTCCTCCTTCCCACAGTGCTGCCAAGTCCAGACCCATCATTGCGGAGCCAGAAATCCATGGTGCGCAGCCCCTGGACGGTGTCACCGGCTTCCTGGTGCTGATGTCCGAGGGGCTCTACAAGGCCCTGGAGGCAGCCCATGGACCTGGGCAGGCCAACCAGGTGAGTGGGCTGGGCAGAAACTGGTGGCCAGCTGACAGGCCTCTGACATTAGGGGTCTCTGGAGTCAAAGTTGAGTGAAGAGGGCCAGCTGGTGGTACAGAGGTTAAGATAGCTGGATCCCACATGAATGACTGGGCAGTTCGAGTCCTCCACTCAGCAGCTTAAAAAACACACCGGGCATGTGTGCCCAAGTGCCCAAAATACCAGAAGGAGGGAAAACTGGAAAAGGGATTGTGGTGTGGCCACGCCCTGTGGGGTACTTTCTCACTCCCTAACCTCCATCTCTCTCCGATGAACGCATATGTCCTCTGACAAGAAAAGAGAAAACGCTGGGGGCAGGCAAAGCCCTGCTCTGCAGACACCCATCCCACTGAACGCCTGGCCCTCTGGGGGCTGCAGCAGTGTGGGCCCCCAGGGCCCCAGCTAGGAGACGGAGGTGGGAGTGAATTTCCCTGGGATGCAGGGAAGGGGCCTGGCCGCGAAGAGAGCCCAGGGAGGGTGTGGCCTGCTGCCTGAGGGAGACGGGTCCCTCTTCTCCAGGGGCGAGGTTGGCATGGTGGATGTAGGTCCTCGGCCAGTGGAGGTGCTGCGTGGCCTAACCTTTGTGTAGTTGTGGCGGGCAGTTGTCACCAAAGCGTGCCTTCAAGGAGGAACTGCCCTCACCTGACCCTCCGTGCTGGGTTGCTTGGTTCGTCCCTTTGAGATCCCTGTAGGAAGATAACTTTTCTGCTTTGTCTTCTTTAATTAAAAATCATCAGGGAGGGGCCTGCGGCATGGAGGTTATGGCGCTGGACTCCCACGTGGTGCCGCAGCTCAAGTCCTGGTGACTTGCTTTCTCACTGTCCTCTCTCTGTGTCTCTTTGGTGAGCACACATACCATATAGCAAATTTTAAATAGTAATAATAAATCATATTTATTTATTTATTTGGAGAGGTTTTTGCTATAGGGTGCGTGCACTTGCCAGACAGACAGACAGAGAGACAGAAAGTGAGAAATCACGCATGCACATGCGCCCTGCGTGAGTTTTAACACACCGGGTCCAGGACGCGAACCGTGGTCGACCACGTGGGAGTCCAGTGACATAGCCATTACGCCAACTGCTGGTCCCAATAAATCATATTAAATAATTCTTCAAAAAAGGAAAGATAACTTTAAAAAAATCATGAGGGAAAGCCTTAAGGGCCTTACTGGCCCGATCCCAGTGTCGGGGTTTTCCTCCTAGCGTGTGTGCTGCTCCCAGCAGCCTTGCGACACGGAGGGGTAGGGCTCTGCTTCCACGAACTCGGGGCCACGGAGTGCCGGGACTTGCCTGAGCCCACTCAGCTGCTTAGCGATGGAGCAAGCAGCACCCGGGCCTCGTCACTGCCCTGGCCTGGCCCGCCCTCCCTGCTCCGCCCTACAGAGAGGTTTGTGTTTGTGATTTTTCAGTCAGTGTGTTTTCCTCCTCTTCTGTCTTCACCGTAGAAGTATGGACATTGTGAGTGGAACAGAGCTCGTCAGGCATTTGAGCGTTCTGGACAGTGGTCGGCTCTGAGGGCGGGGCCGTCGCCTTTGTTCTGCCCCCATTCTGGACAGACCACCTGGCACACAGTCACGGCCTCGGCCTGCACTGGGCTCGCCCGCCCTCCTCGTGTGCTCCGTCCCTGACGGCCTTTAATCCCGCCATCACCCAGCGAGGGGGTGTTACCCCCGCTTTAGAGGCGAGGAGGCCGACAATCAGGGACTACGAGGCCTCGCCCCTTCTCTGTGAACGAGTTCCAGGAGGCTTATCCCGAGCACTTGGCAGAGCTCAGAGAACAAGCGTGGCTGGCAGGACTTCCTTCACCTGCGGGGCCAGTGACCCCAATCTGATCCCAGGCTCTGGAACTAGGAATCACGGTCCCCGGCCACCCTCATTTCTCACTAGGTCCTTGCTCCCCCTCCTGCCCCAGGAGATCGCCGCGATGATTGACACCGAGTTTGCCAAGCAGACCTCCCTGGATGCAGTGGCCCAGGCCGTGGTGGACCGGGTGAGGCGTATCCATGGTGACACCTTTGCCAGTGGTGGGGAACGTGCCAAGTTCTGCCCCCGGCACGAGGACATGACCCTGCTGGTGAGGAACTTTGGCTACCCCCTGGGGGAACTGAGCCAGCCCACAGCAACCCCAGCCTCAGGTACGTGTGCCGTGCAGACAGGAGGAACCTGAGGGCACTGTCTGGGGACCGCAGTCTGGTGCAGGAAGCCCTTCTGACCACCAGGCCCTCTGAGCTGCGTGTGTTTTCTCCCAGTGTCTATAGAGATGCTCTCTGCCCTGGGCACCCTGAAGGTCTGAGAGCACTAACAGGCAGCTTGCAGAGCCCAGGGCTTCCCGGGAGATGGTGGCCTCCCATGGCCCCGCGCCTCCTGTGTCCTTGATAGCAATGCGGGGAGCAGGTACTGCCCATGTTCCAGAAGGGAGAACAGGCTCAAGCACCAAGGGCTAGGCATGGGGACTGGTTGCCAGGCCCTGAAGCCCAGCCCTGTGCCTGGTGCTTTCCGGGGAAGGTCCTCGTTTGTAGATCAAGTGTCTGGGGAAGGGAGGCCGTGCTCTCCTCGGCGCTGTCTCAGCGCTCAGAGTGTGCTCCCAGAGCCCGAGGGCTGCGTTTCTGTTTCTTTTTCAAACAAGATGCCTTGGGGCCCAGGCATCCAGATAGATTTGTTGTCCCAGGGAAGCCAGGGTTTCTGGCGCTTCTCCGGCTCAGCGTCAGCTGCATCTGTGTTTTCACTGAGTCGGCTTCAGCTGGGAACACGCGGACCCTCTGGATTCAAGTGTTTGGGGGAAGCCTGGCAGTGACCCTTTTGTTCTGGCAACTCGAGCACTTGATTTTGTTCTCGCTTGGAGCACTGGCAGGCTTTGCTGCTGCGCAGAGGTCCTGGCCCAGCCTGGAAGAGTTTGTACTAAGGGACACCCCTCCTGTGACACCGAGGGCCTCTCTGGGCCTGGGGAGCTAGGCCTGCCCTCTCACTCTCAGGTGCTGCCCCTTGGGCCCCAGGGCAGTCCTACTCCCATGATCGGCCATTCCTTGTGACCCACCGTGCTCTTCCTCCCAAAGCTGCAGGGGGACGTGTGTACCCCGTGTCCGTGCCTTACTCAAGTGCCCAGAGCACCAGCAAGACCAGCGTGACCCTCTCCCTCGTCATGCCCTCCCAGGGCCAGATGGTCAACGGGGCCCACAGTGCTTCCACCCTGGACGAAGCCACCCCAACCCTCACCAAGTAAGAACAAGCCCTCCCTGGCCTCCTGTAACCTGTCCCTGGGTCAGCTCTTGGCACTGGGCCAAGCCTGTGGGTGGCTGAGTGGTCTTGCAGGGGTACCAGGGGTCTTGCCCCGCCCAATTCCCAGCCCCACTTCTGGGTAAGGGAGGGCTCTGTAGAGACCGAGGTAGGAGGAGGCAGCACTGCTGGTTCCAGCAGCTCCTCGAAGTCGGACCCGGGGTCGGGTACAGTTCGGGCCAGAGTAGACAGGAGTGCTAGGAGGGGCAGGGCAAGGGTTCCATTCAGGCAGGCGATGACCACCACAACCGTGTCCTCTTGGGGTCCCATGTGTGGTGCTCATTCTTTCAGTGGGGGGCTCTCCTCTCGTCCTCTCTTCGCTCATTGTGGGTAGGTGGCCTTCCCGATGGCATCCAGGTCCAGGCTTGGGGACGTTGTTCAGCCTGCGCCAGCTCGTCAGCCTGTGCTCTGACTAAAAGTCCCAGTTCACTTTGAAGTGGTGCAGGGTGCAGGCAGGCCCCCTCCCCACCGCAGACCTGCCTGGCAGGTCTGGCCCACCCCACCCCCTCACTTCTGTGGAATGTACACCCCCACACACCAGGGGCTGAGATCTGGTTTCCACATTCCAGCCCTGCATGGAATAATCCAGATGCCACGCCCAGCCCTCTCCCAGGACTGAGCCAGCAGGATGTGGCCAATTAGAAGGACCAGCAGGGAAGGGGTGGCCTGTTTTCCTTTGCCTCCTCTCGGGGTTCTTTCCCCAATGCCGCTGAGGGCGAGAGGGCCTGCCAGGCAGCTAAGCCTGAAGGGCACCCTGGGTGCATTCGGTGGGCACCCCTCCACCCCTGCCAGCTGCCCGGAGGAAGCCACTAGCTGTGTCCACACAGCTGAGCAAGAGCGCATGGCCCTGACATGGTGGGACAGTGAGCCATCCTCCTCTGCCTCAACCGCGAAGCCCTCAGCCTCTTCTCTCCCTGCGAGTGCCGCGTCAGTGGCCCTGTGGGCTGGCCTTGTCCCCAGGCTGGGCAGACCCAGTTGTTGGGCAGTGGGCTGGTGGGTACTTCCCAGCAGTTACGTGCTCTGTGACAGGAGTATGACCGTCCCCACCCGGCCAGTGAGCAGGAGTAAGGGTGAGGGAACAGAGGAGGTTTCTGAGAGAAGAGCCCGCCTGCCTGTGGCAGTGGGGTGGGATGGGGTGCTGGGGGGCAGGGTAGGACTCTCTGTGACTGCGGGGCGTCTGCCTGTGGGGGCCGCAGACCCTACCCTGTGTGGGCCCCAGCCACTAGCCCATGGGGCTGGAGGGCACTTGATCCAAGTGTTTCACTTCACGCTGAGTTTAAAAGCCACATGTAGCTCATTCTTTTTTTTTTTTTTTTTGTAAGAATTGTTTATTTTTTAAAATTTGTTATTTTTTATAATTCAACCAGAGAGAGAGAAAGGGAAAGTGAGAAAACAAGCCTCCAGGTCTGCAACTCGAGCCGTGATCAGCCATGTGGGAATCCAGTGCCTTAACCACCACACCAACTGCCACCATGTAGCTCATTCTTTTTTTCTTTTTTTTTTTTTGCTATAGAGTGCATGCGCTCGCCAGAAAGAGTGAGACAGAGAGACAGAAAGCAAGAAATCACCCCCCAGGGGTGGGACGGCCACAAGGGCAGGTCAGTGGGAAGGAGCTTGAGTAGTCAGGCCACTCCACTCCTCTCAGGATCTTGGGCATGCATGCACATGTGCCCAGGGTGTGTTTAAGCCACCGGGACTGGTACTCAGACCATGGTCGACTACATGGGAGTCCAGCGACCTAGCCATTATGCCAACTGCTAGTCCCTGTAGCTCATTCTTAAAGACACTGGGCTTCGGGACCAGCAGATAGTGTAACGGTTACGTCACAGGCCACCCGACTATGTTTGAGTCCCAGACCGGGTAGCTTAAAATTCACACCAGGTGCATATGCGTGCATGCCCAAAGTCCTGAGAGGAGACCGGAGGAGAAGGGATTGTGGGTGACCGTCCCCCAGGATGGCCGTCTCCCTGATTTCTTGCTCTGTCTCTGATGAGCGCACGCACCCTATAGCAAAAATCTCTCTCAAAATAAATAAATAAAAGAAAGACACTGGGCTTTTTGTGTGTCCCTAAGCACACACATGGCTGGGCTGGCTTGTAGGGTCACCTTGGCCAGAGAAACTGGAGGGTCTGGTAGGGCAGGGACTGCTCTGTCCGTGGGGCCCCAACCCCCGTCTCTTCCCACAGCCAGAGCCCGACTATGACCCTGCAGTCCACCAACACACACACCCAGAGCAGCAGCTCCAGCTCGGACGGGGGCCTCTTCCGCTCCCGGCCCGCCCACTCACTCCCGCCCGGTGAGGATGGCCGTGTCGAGCCCTACGTGGACTTCGCCGAGTTCTACCGCCTCTGGAGTGTGGACCACGGCGAGCAGAGCGTGATGACCGCACCATAGCCCTTGAGCAGGGCCTCGTGTGGGACCAGTGGCCTTTCCTCACGTTTGCGGTGCCACAGAGCAGCAAGCGCTCTGCCCTCAGCCTGCACCAGCCCATCCCACCGCTCAGGGCCGTGGGTGTGTGTGGCCCACACCCTGTCACCACACTGCAGGCTGGGGCCCTTCCGAGTGGAAGCTGCTGCAGACCACCCAGGGTTCTTCCAGCCAGGTGCAGTGGGACAGGAAGAGGGCAGCCTGTGAGCCCGAGTGTCACAGGCCCAACAGACACTGCTCGCTCAAGTGGACCCCCACCTCCTCGGAATTACCTGTGGCCACTGTTGGTCCTGACAGCTCTGGATAGCGGTGGGCTCCTCCCTTCTCTAGCCTCAGCCCTGTACCCCTAAATCCATAGTGGAAGCTGAGACAGTGCCTTCACCTGCCCTGGGCCCCCTCCCTGCCCTGCCCTGATTGTGGTCAGTGGTCAGTGTTCAAGCCTGGGATGGCCACAAGGGCAGGTCAGTGGAAAGGAGCTTGAGTAGTCAGGACTAAGGGAAGTGCCTGTCCCAGAGTCACCCAAAGAGCACTGGGCAGAGGGCTTCCGGAGGGGGCAGCAGGAGGCTGTGCCTGCTGAGCCACGGCAGTAGCCGCTCTTGTCAGGCCCTGTGCCGGGCGAGCTGGTGCCCACACTCCCCCAGGTGGGGGTGCTCCCGAGATTGGCCATCTTTGCCATTGATGGCGGGTCAGGCCAGAGGCTCCTGTGAGAGGGAAGAGGTCTTCGAGACCTGGATGCCCAGGGAGGCCAAGGGACTTGGGGGTGGGCACCGTCTGTACTACGTGGGAAGGATCAGGCCGACCTGGGCCCCCAGCTGGGCCCTTTGGACATATCCTCTGCCCTTAATGGGGAGGGGAAGCCGCAGGGCCTTCTGTCCGCAGGAAGGAATGAGACCCAGAGACTTGCCCCTTCCCACGTCCTGCATCAGCCATGGAGCCAGAGCTCTGAGGCCTCGCGGTTCCCTGCTGCCCCGCCAGCCCTAACCCCTGCCCACGGTGCCCCAACACAGCCCCCCATGCCGCTGTGCTCCCTCGGGCCCCCGCAGCCCAGGCAGCCCCATTGCACAGCAGAGCAGGGCCCCGCAAGTGTGTGGGGGGGACCCCAGTACATGCGGTGGTGGCAACATCTTGCTGAGGGCGCGGGCGCCCCTCCACCCTGCAGCCATCTCTGTTCTGCCGCAGAGGCTTGGTGACAAAGGGAACTCTTCCAAGAACGTCTCTCTGATGCTGTCTGGTCTCTAGAAATAGAGTCCTTTTCAGTGCAGTGAGGAAGTACTGCATGGCGTCACGTGTGTTCTGTTGCTGGGACCCACGTCCCGTTAACCCCATGGCGGCTCTGGGAGGCGGATCCCTGCCACTTTAAAGAACCAAGCTCCCCCGGCTGGGCAAAGGCCGGGCTTGGGGT